CATATGGATAGCCAATTACTTCAGTATCAATTATTGACTCATCTCTGTTTTCTCCACTGATCTCTGGTGCTATCTTTGTCCTAAATATCTTTTATCCTAAAAGTAACTTTGGGTATAGCTTCATAATATTGAAGCTCTTGGACTTGGTCTTACTCTTGAACAGAACTGCAAAAATTGTATCGCATATGCTTGTCATAGGAGCTCTGGTAGCATAGTGCTTAAAGGCATTTAACTGCTAACCAGAAGGCTGGTTCAAACCCACCAGCCACTCCTCAGAAGGAAGACTGGGCGATCTGCTTCCGCAGTGATACCGCCTTGGAAACTCAAGGAGGGGTTTCTGTGAGTCGGATCCGACTCTTCGGCAGTGAGTTATGCTTGTCATATTCGCTAATTTTGATGTGTGTTTCATTTTGTAATTAAGAATTATACATGAATAAGTAAAGGTTCTTAGTAGAAAATGAGAAACATTCTTGGTTAAATAATTTAATAATCGATGCAAAATACTTGAACTGTTTATTTCTTCATTCCAGTTAGAGGCTATATTTTTTCATCATTTTATTCCATATTTATTGATACCTACTATGACTGCTAACCAGGAGGCTGGTGGTTCAAACCCACCAGCCACTCCTCGGAAGGAAGGTTGGGCAATCCACTTCTGTAGTATACCACCTCGGAAACCCAAGGAGGGGTGGCTATGAGTTGGATCTGACTCGATGGCAGTGTGTACTATGTACAAAAGGAGTCCGTGGGTGGCGCAAATGGTTAGGCACTTGGCTAGTAACAGAAAGGTTGACAGCTCATATCCACCCAGAGGCACCTTGGAAGAAAGCCTCACTATCTGTTTGCAAAAGGTCACAGTCATTGAAAACCCTATGGAGCACAGTTCTACTCTGACTCATGGAATTGCCATGCATCGGAATTGACTTGATGACAATTGGTTGGTTGATTAAGGAACAAAGGGTTGCACTTGACATAAACGTCATTCGATAATAAATAAGACACATCAGTGATGTTGCAATCAACATTCAAGCTGTTATTGGTCCACTTGTAGCAGATAGTTAAAAACCACATAGCTTAAGTTGTTACTGTGTAGTGGGAATTGGTCACAACTGTTCTGGTTACCTAATGCTGCTCTGACAGGAATATACCACAAATGGGATGGCCTTAACAAACAGGAGTTTATTCTTACAATTTGGAGGCCTTAAGTCCAAGTTCAAAGTGCCAGGCTCTAGGGGCTGGGTGAAAGCCCCTCAACCTTGAGGTCCAGCTCTGCCTCCTGCTCCCAGCCCACTGGAGCTAGAGGCGTTTCTTCACTCAGACAGCTGCTGGCTGCTGAGGCTGAGAAGCCCCAAGGTTGACAAATAAAAAGGCATAGTCCCGATGTTACCAAACCACATGGCAGGCCATTCACTTAGGTCCATTGTAAGTCCCAAGATTGGCAGAGCATAGCAGGCTGCTGAGCAGCAACATGGCTACATGCAGGGTCCAAGCGTGCCATAGGCTAGAGACCATTCTCAAAGCTTCTCTTTCTATACAGGAAGCCGACCACATACCCAAAGGCAGCTACTCAGCTATTTGTGGTTTATCCCACCGTGGAGTTGATTGCCAGTCTCATCATGGGGAATACTATCCAGCTGCCCAGCCACTAAACGAGGCCTAACCAAGTAGACACACAAACATGATCACCACAGTCACCAAGTAAGATAACCATTGAAAACCGAACACAGAATGTGTACCCATGTTGGATGCCCTCCTGGGAGGACTGAGAGACGCTTGAGCAGGCCGCTAACAGAGTGCGGCTTTGGAGGACCTCCGGTGCTTGTAACTAGCCAAGTAGCAGGGTGAGGAAGAGTTGGGAGATGCAGTCAAGTGGCTCCCTGAGAGAGGATGGGGCTTAGAAGCAGAGAAATGTAACTCTAAGTTGTGAGTGCAGGGATAGAATTGGCAAGGGCAGGGCAAAGCAGAAGGACTTAAGATGGTGACTGAAGGGCCTGGTCTCCTTTTTGTTGCCCTTAGGTATTCCCCCAACTTTTTGCGAAACTGGTGTATTTCATGGTCTGAGGTCCAAATGGACCCTAGCCATGGGCTTTGTTACTTACCACATTGCGTTTTGTTGTGTTTGCTAGAACCGAATGTTGCCTAAATTAAATTCCATAATCCTGTAGTAAGATTGCTGATACAACTTTATCTCACATTTCCTATTGTATTTTCTTTAGGTTTTGTGAACGATTCTGTGACTAAAAGTATTGTGGCTTTGCGCTTAACGCTGGTGGTGAAGGCCAGTACCTGTGTGTCTGGGGAAAGCCACACAGATGATGTGGAGTGTTCTGGAAAAGGAAGCTGCACCACGAGGCCATCAGAGGTAAGGCTCGTAGCTTGTTGTGAAAAACTACACATACATACGTGCATACTGTTGTTGTTGGGTGCCATCGAGTTAATTATGACTCATAGCCCCCCCCACATGATGGAGCACAGCTGCCCCATAGGGTTTTCTTAGACTGTGCTCTGTACAGAAACAGATCACCAAGTGTATTGACCATGGAGCCTCTGGGTGGACTCAAACGTCCAACCTCCCGGTAACACCTCAGTGCTTAACCGTTGTACCACCAGACCTCCTTATATATAGACCCCTTCAATATCCACATCATCTGCTTGTGCACTGCTAGGTCTTCTTGCTGTGGTTTGCATTAGAGGATTTGCAAGCAGTCATTATATCTCGTTGCAGAATGGAGAGAAACGGAGAATCACAAAGTCATTTATGGCTTCCGGAACTGTTGCCGGCAAATATGCTAATTCCCTCTTTAGACTTAGAGTCTCTCTAGACCATCTCTCTAGAGAGACTAACAAACTTACAGAAGTAGCAGAAAAGGAAAGGAGGGAGCAGAGAAAAGCAGGGACCAGAGCTGACTCGTTTTTCTTCCTTTTGTGGTGTCAGCATCTTCCATGCCCTGGATGACTTGTCCTGTGTCCCCTTTTTCTTTAATAGCTGAGGTCCCATGAGTGTGGCAAAGGGGACTGAGTACTGCTTTCTCCTCTGCCTTATTGTTTTGTAGGGATTGGTGATATGGAGTTAGGTGAGGAAAGGACCACAGTGGCCATTTAGGCCAACCTCCTTCCTTCTAGGAGCTCTGGTGGCATAGTGCCTAAGACATTTGACTGCTAACCAGACGGCTGGCAATTCAAACCCACCAGCCACTCCTCGGAAGGAAGACTGAGCAATCTACTTCCGTAGTGATACTGCCTCAGAAACCCAAAGGATCGCTATGAGCCTTTCCTTCTAGGGCTCCTTTGAAACGTTTTTGGCAGACGGGCTCCAGCTACTCCCTGGACATCACTTGTGAGGGACTCCTCAACCTTACAAGGGGAATGGCCCGTGAGGGGACACCCACTCCTCTCACCACTTCCTGTTTCAGGCTCCAGCACACCCTTTTTTCCTTTCACTGGTTCTGCATGTATTTCCAGTGAAGTTAGTGTGAGAAAGTGGGTCCCCAAAGCCCTCAAAGAGCATGATTTATTTTAGACTAAGTTGGTGCAAATGATTAACATGCTTAGCTGCTGACTTAAAGGTTGGGGATTTGAGTGTACCCAGAGGTGCCTCAGAAAACAATACCTGGCAGTCTACTTCCAAAAATCCCACCGTCGAAAATCCTGTTGAGCACAGTTCTCGTTGCCACGAGTTGGAAATGACTTGACCAGAGCAAACCAAAACCAAACCTGTCACCGTCAACTCATTTCTGACTCACGGTGACCCCAGCATTCTACAGTAGAACTTCTCCATGGGGTTTTTCTGGCTGTAACCTTTACAGCAGCAGGTTTCCAGGACTTTATTTCATAGTGCTACTGGGTGGACTTGAACCACCAAACTTTGGGTTAGTACGCGCTGCTGTCGAGTTACATCCGACTCATAGCAACCCCTCCTTGGGTTTCTGAGGTGGTATCTCTATGGAAGTAGATTGTCCGACCTTCCTTCTAAGGAGTTGCTGCTGGGTTTGAACTGCCAGCCTTCTGGTTAGCAGTCAAATGCCTCATAGTTGCTCACAAACCAATGCCACGCAGGGATTGCCTCAGTAACAGCTGGTCAATTTTAAGGGTAGCCAGGTAAGTTTTCTTGGGTGACCTCCTTGTATTAATTGTAGCATATTCTGAAATAGTGGTTAATTTTGACAACTGAGAAGAATGAGGCTTACTGACAAAATGAATTTCCAGAGGAACTTTCAAACTTCTGTGTCATCTTGGAAGACCTGCCTTAGGTATAATGTTCCAGTTGCTTATGTAGTAATGTTGCAGTTCCTTCCCTGGAGGATAGCCCTTGTAGAGGGCAGAGTGTGGTCAAGATCTTTTTTTTTTTTTTTTAATTTTTATTATGATTTTGGTAAAAGTTTATAGAGCAAATTCATTTTCCATACAACAGTCCACATACACTTTGTCTCATGACATTGACTGAAATCTCCCACAATGCAACAGCTCTCTTCCCAGTTCCTCCCCATAGTTACCTCTTCCCTGTGTCCTTCCCTCCCATGTACTCCTGCCCCCCAAGCTGTCTCCCTGTGCAAACACTGCCCTTCTATTCTCCCATGATTGATCTCTCTAAGGAGTGTAGCTACCTATCATAAATGTTCAGCTCATATGCCTGTCTTTTGTTTGACTGGAAGCCACAGGAGTGGGTTCAATTCCAGACCTGAAGGGCAGCTAGGGGCCATAGTCTCAGTGGTTTCACCAGTTTAGTTAGGATCTTGAGAAGGTGATAGAAATAATATTTACTGCTAAATCCTTGAAAACGAACACAAGTGCTAATTAAAGCCAAAACTCAATTCCTGCTTTGGGGGCAGGGGCTGAGGAACAAGTGAGAGAAGCCAGGAGGTTAAGGATAAGATTCCTTTTCCGTAGCCAGACCTGCCCTTGTGTTTCTTTGTCTTGTTTCTGTGCCGGCTTGACCAGTCTCTTTCCTGAGAGGCCAATTTATCAATGTATCCTATAGGAACAAAAAGTAAAGGGTGCTCTGAGGTTTTCTATGATGCTCAAGCTCAAGGAGGGCAAGATAACACCAGAAAAGACAAGATACCGTCTGGAAGGCTTACTTGATAAGAAAGTTCTAGAAGAGATGATAATGTGAGCGATTGAGAAAAACCAAGGTAGAGAGTGCTAGGACTTCCAAGTGAGCCTGCAAAGAGAGGCACTCGGATCTCCCCCTAACTCATTCTTTTTCTCCCAAATGAAGAATTTTAGGCATGATTAGCTCTGAAGAAGATGAAATTGGCAATGAAGTCATCAATACCTTAAATGTCTACTTGAATCCAAGAAATGTCTTAAACGAGGAATAAAAGGAGTTCCCGAATTTTTGACTGGCAACGTGGTTGAGATCCATTGTACACTGTTTAGAGCCCTGGTGGTACAGTGGTTAAAGCTCTCTGCTGCTGACCAGAAGGTCAGTGGTTCAAACTCACAAGCCAGTCCGTGGGAGCAAGATGAGGCAGTCTGCTTCCATAAAGATTTGTAGCCTTGGAAACCCTGTGGGGCAGTTGTACTCTGTCCTGTAAGGGCGCTGCTGTGCTTCAGAACCAACTCAATAGTGATGGGTTGTCTTCTGTTCTCTCTTATAATAGATGACCCCTCTTGGAAAAGTTTTTATCCAAAGCTAGTTACCATGTTATCTTAACAGCCTGGCTAGCTGCAACACAGTATGTGAGAATCCTCTGCTTGAAACCTCTAGCTAGCAGGCTCTGTCTGGTGAGCTAGGATGGACTCACAGAAAAGACAGAGACTGAGAGCTAACCAATAGACAGACCCAGGAGCCAAACAGCTGCACCAAGGAGCTGCACTTATAAGAATAGTCAACCACGGGAGAGCAGGAGAGCAGTATTTGCACCGGGAAATTGCACAGGGAGAGAGGTAGGGAGGCAGGAATGCATAGGCAGGAAGGACCCAGGGAAAGGGCAACCACGGGGAGGAAGTGGGAGGAGAACTGTTATATTGTGGGGATTGTAACCAGTGTCACAAAACAAAATGTGTATGAACTACTGAATGCAAAATGAATCTGCTTTGTAAAATTTCACCCAAATCACAAAAAAGTTAAAGAAAAAGCAGTAGAGGAATTTAGCACATGGCAGGTAACTTGGCAAACTTTGCCAAAGCTACTTTCTTTTCCATGAAAAAAAATGACTAAAAATCCTGGAGGAGGAACCCACAGTAATTGTAGAAGGTCTTTACAGAGGAAGGACAGCGCCTTTGTGGCTTATAGCTTCTTTGAAGGACTTTGAGTGCCCTGGGGGTAACACCTCCTCTCTCTACTGCCACCGCTCCACTCCACACTAGTGGTTCCAAAGTGTAGGTCTTCTGCTGTTGTTGTTTCTGATAATAATACTTACCTCCAGTGAATTTCCACCTCTCCTCTGTCAGTGTGTCGTACTGTGGTGGCTGGCGTGTTGCTGTGATGTCAGTGGTATTTCAAATACCAGCAGGGTCACCCATGGTGGATGGATTTCAGTGGAGCTTCCAGCCTAAGACGGACTGGAGACTAAGGCCTGACCAACTACTTCTGAAAACTAGTCAGTGAAAACCCTAGGGTTCACAACAGAATATTGCCCATATAGTCCTGGAGGGTAGGCCCCTTGGTTGAAATACACTACACATGGGCTGCTGCACTGGACTCAAACTTGGCAGTGGGATGGCACAAGACCGGGCAGTGCTGTGTTGTGTTGTGTTGTGCTGTCTGCCATGAACTGGAGTTGACTCGATGGCAACGGCAGCAGCTTCCAGACTAAGACAGATGAGAAACAAAGCCCTGGTGATCTCCTGCCAAAATTGAGCCAATGCAAACTCGGTGAATCACAATAGACTGTTGTTTGACTTGTTCCCTTTGGACATGTCATAAGGAAGTGTCACTCACTGAAGGGGAGGACATGATGTTTGGTGAAGTGGAGGGTCACCAAGGGTGAGGGAGACCCTCATGGCACAATAGCTGAAACAGTGGACTTGAACGTCCTGGTGGTTGTGGGGATGATGCAGGACTGGGCAGTGTTTCATTCTGTTGTACGTAAGGTCACCATGAGCTGGAGTTGACTTGGTGGCATCTATCTCTCTCTCTAACTCTCTCAGGAGCTCTGGTGGCGTAGTGCCTTGTTGTTGTTGTTGTTGTTATGTGCTGTCGAGTCAAACCCGACTCATAGCGACCCCTCCTTGGGCTTCCGAGGCAGTATCACTACGGAAGTAGGATTGCCCAACCTTCCTTCCGAGGAGTGGCTGGTGGGTTTGAACCGCCAGCCATCTGGTTAGCAGGCAAGTGTCTTAGCCACTATGCTACCAGAGCTCCCGGCGTAGTGCCTTAATAGTTTTTATTATTCCTTAAATAGTAAGGCATTTGAC